GCTGGCCTGTTCTTAATGAAACATTGTCTACGTTCCTGTACATTTATAAACCATTCTCAAGTGTCTTTTTGCCACCACCTGATAACGATGTGTACTTTCACAGAAGGGAGAGGATCATAGGGTTCACAAGGACACAGCAATGGCTAAGGCACAGGGGAGCACAACCCAGTTATGAGCTCCTCAATGCAAACACTGAGAATGTATGAGTGCAAAAGAACGACTACAGCCAACTAAATATCTCAATAAAGGTGTGGAACACATACAACACAGAAAGCTAAATGGAGAACATGCCAGTGTTCGCCTCCCCTGAGGAGGGCTGGCTGCCCCAAGCCTTTCTGTAACGCTGTCCATTCATTAACAGAGCTCTGCTTCGAAACCCTGTCAGTGCACAACGTGTGTCCACTCATTACCTGCGTGCTGCCAGTGATCATGCTGGTGAAGGACTACAAACATACCTGGCTGTGTCTGACGTACAGAGAACTGAGAGAAAGCAAAGAGAGGAAATCGCAATTTAATTCACTGCATGTGGAGAATAAAAGGACATCGTTTCATATGCGCTGGCTTATCCTTCCCTTTGGTTTGTTAAAAACATACAGTATTAGCTGCCCTTTCCTCTTGGGAAATGAACAGCATAGGTAATGGAAACCAGTAAAGAACTGTGCGTGTTACTGCAATCCATCTACATTTGGGTGATTCCTGTTATGTCCTGTATCTGACCAAGGGGGGAAAAGCAATTGTTCAAATGAAACCAGGTGACAAATCCTCCCAGTTATTTTTTCCCCTTTGCGTGTTCACAATCAGAGCTCTGATCTGAAAAGTCAGGAAGATACTTCAGCATTAAGCATTTCAGCACTCCCAAGGAACACTTAACCTAAAGTAACAGCAGATCCCTGCATTTCTTAGAGGACATCTGACTTTGGGCAGCTACTGAATATTTGGCAGTGCACACCAACAACCACACGTGAACCACAGCACAGCCCCCTCTCTGACGGACCGCAGTGGTTACGCTCACATCACCTTCCATTGACTTCCAGAGTACAATTAATTCACTTGAAAATTTACAAGACGCAACAAGACAGTGGATTTGTTGGGAGCAAGATCAGGAGAGATTTGGTTCGCCACAGGGGAGAGCAATTCATGAGATGGATTGCAGGTTTTACTTCCCCTGCCTATCACAGGCTCTTCCCTGTTAACTGTCATGACACCTGAACAAGGGCACAGAGATAATTTTTTATCCCAGATATAAAATGGGGCCAGAACAAACATGCCCAGGTTTTCAATTGGGTTTCAGCCATGAAACCTGCCACTGTGACCTGAACCATGATTGTCTGAGGGACACAGATGATGCAGCCCTGGCAATTCATGTTTCAGGAGTTCGTTTGTGGACTACAAATTAAAGGAAGGGTTGGTTCCATTTAGTACTAGCTTCAGGCTTCACTGCATGCTCAGAGCACAACACTCAGGTTAGAGCCTTCGCTGATGCAAATCAAGAAAGCTTAGCAGTAATCAGTGTTAGACTGATTTGTAACAGCTGAAAATCTAGCCTTACAAGGTCAATATTTGTAAAAGAAAGGAGGGTGCATGATGGTACTTGCTGCAGATTTTGTAAGCAAAAGCACTCCACAGAGGGGGCAGGAGTACAGGATGTAGGAATGTTTCATTAGGGTTCTATGACTATTCCTGTCGTTCAAAGGCAGGGGCGGAGGAAACCACACACTAGAATATGAATCTTTCTAACTAATTAGACATCTTCATAACATGCTTTCTCTTGAATTCTGGTTTTCTTTACTTGCTGTTTCATTTCTCTTCATGCCCTCAGAAATTTAACCAAGCCCTGTAGGCAGCAATCAGCTAAATAAATGTATGGCGGCTTGTCACCTAGTATATAACCAGGGCTGTTTTCCTTTAGATCCTCTTATAAATGCGAATTGCTATTTCTGCACTTGTGACAATGGCTCAGCTTTGTTATTACACTGGCATTTCTGCATGAAGTTGAAATGAAGTGCCTAAGACTGGTTTGCAACCAGTACCCAATTTATACATTTTTTCCCCCAAACATTCACCACCTATAGTGAGACCCAGAATCCACAGTGGTTGGTCATTAACTAAAAGAGAGGAAAGTGGCTTTCACAGTACCTACAGTCAAGCATGAAAGTCTCCTATGAGACGAATCTATTCCTAACCAGTTGTTGATGCTTCAGCTAAGTGAAGTCACCTGATCAGCCGTGGCCTGGAATCTTTTTCTGCTGTTAGGCCCCAAGTAAGCAGTCATGTGAAAAAGCACTTAAGTTCTTAATTGAGAATCTTCAGGAAGCCTCATTTCATTGATTGACTTGGCTTAGATGACAGATGCGAACCACCCTGGTGTGACACAGAAGTGAACCATCACCCACCCAACCAGGCAGTGACCACAATGGAGATGTAGGCATGAAACGAGTCCCCTCTCTTTGTTTTACATCACACACAAGTTCTTCAGCCGATGCTGATGCAAAACCAAGCATACCTTGCAGTGCATTTCTTCCTGGGTCTGCAGAGAGGTTTGTAAACAACGTGAGATTAGAAGACCATCTAAAACACAGCCATGAATACAGCTCCATTCTGGTGTTACCTTATAACCCCCATTTTCAAACTAAAACACAGACAAACAAAAAGCCCCAATAACAAAACAGTTTCGGTACTCTTCCTTGCCATTATCCGCAGTGGCAACAGAATGAGATCCCACCTCCCCAGTTGCTCTTTGTCACCTGGAAGCAGATCAGCACGTGTGCCATTTCACAGATCCGCTTCCTGTTAATGGAAAGGCAACCCTGTGGGTAACAAAGCTGGGTTCTCTTGGCTGTAAGCCAGGAAGCTTAAAGAGAAGCCTTGAATTCTGAAAACATAATCGACAAGGGACTCAGCTTAAGAAAAGATTCCATCTATCAACTAACAAGAGGGGTCATGAAGTAGGGTATTCTTTATACTTGAGAGATCAAGCTAAAAGTCTTAAATATGTACAAGAAAACCCTGGTTGAAATGCTCTCTGTAAGTAATAGAGGTTGCAGCTTTGAGGAGGCTTATCATTTCTCCTGACATTCTGACAGAAATCTGTAATATAGAAGTTTAGCAGTGTGGGCAGGTTAAATTATACTAGGCAGGTGAAATCATTTCAATGTGAATTGAAGCGTTTACTCTTGTCCACTTCCAGCTCTGCTTTGTTATTCTCTGCTTCCCATAACTTTGGACTTTCATTTTCAAAGGGATGCAATATAGGAAAGGCTTAGGTTCTAGGATCTGGTGTTTCCTTAAAGTGTCCTTAGCACAGCATGGAAACAGCAATTTGGTTCTTGCCTATCTGTCAAATTTTCAGGTTACTTTCTATCTATTCTACGCGTTTTTCTTTATCTGGAATGACAAATACTGTGGCAAACAGATCATACATTGAGCAATCCTGTTATGGGAAGTTTTGACTAAATCTTCATGAACACATATGTACACAAAAAATATTATGTAATATTATGTTTTTCTGAAGCAAACTTTCCAAAAACCATGCCATTTCCTCATGAAAAAGAGGGGAGTAGAGAGTGTTTTCAACTTCAGACCTTCTTTTTTGTTGGCAAAATATCTAAGAGCTGCTCAGCTAAGCCTCCTCAGCTTGCTTTGGTGGAGTCCAGGACTCACTCTGCTCTTTCTACTCGCACCAGAAAAATCAAAGCATCAGCTTTTCTCTCTTCTGAAATTGCAGTCCACCCCACAGCGTACCAAAATGATGCAAGATCACCGACTTAAAATCCAAACAGGAAACCGGAATATACAATGGCTACGTGTAAAGAAACAGATACAGGAATACTGGTGGAAATGCATGCTCTATAGCACTGCAGTCCATTTTGAGCTTCTGTGAAGCACAAATCCCTCCTGGAAGTGACGCAGCCACCATCACCAAAATGAGTTGGATGTTCCTCTTGGCAAGTTCTTAGCCCTAAGCTCTTGTTGCCATCTCTAAAAGACAATTATGCCTTTTTACCAGCTCCAAACATTCTTTCTACTGGCAGTAGAGTCACTTCTATTTCCAATTGACTTTCGAAATCAGGGTGCTTGCTGTCATTTAGCACTTTAGAATAAGTGGGCCCTAATTAACAGAAAATTACAGTAAAATTTATACCAAATTACATATGGCACCTGCATTAGTAGCCAATGAATTCATTCTGATTAACATTATTACAGGAAACAGCAAGGAGTTTGTACTGCTTTGCTAAAGAAGATAGCTGAATGGAAGCTCTTAGGTTTCCATTAACAAAAGTAAGCATTACATTACTTGAAGACAACCATTAATTTGAATAAGTCTTTTGTTACTGTACACGTAACCCATGCATGGAAAAGAAACTCAGGCAGCACTACAGCTGTCATACTACCCAGGCACCCAGAGATGTACATTACCACAGTGGTTCCTGCTTGCTGCCGTGCACAGCAACCCCAGGAACCACATTCTGGACCAATTTCATTTCTTTGTATTTGACTTCCCCTCCAATTCAGGCCATTTCAATGATCTACATCACAAGATTTTGGAGACAAGAACATTTTCTCCCTTTCCTCTCTGTACTGTGCATAGGTCAATAAGAATCTGATATGGATGGAGTTTCTGAGGGCTGCTGTATGGGAACAACACATAGAAACACCATAACATCATTTGGACTTTGGGCTTCAGTTCTAGTACCCTCTTGAGCCTTATATTGAAGCAGAGCCTCAAACAAAGACCATGTAAGTTCAGAGCTGCTGTTATTCCTGAACCAGGAAAGAGAAATAAAAGAGGAGTAGGGATTGTATGAAGTCAGGATGGAGCCTCTCTCATTGCATTTTTGATGACACATGACAAGTAGGAGCATCGATCTGACTGCATGTGTGCATGTTTCCCTGGGAGTACAAGGTACTATGGATTTCTACCACATTGCACACAACAGCCCTGACTGAGCAGCTCTGCAGTGCTGGGACTGAGGTCATATAACTGTCCAAGGAAGAGAGACTACGTTATTGAGAGCTTATATGATTTGTGAATGCCAGCGACAAACAGAGCATGGAAGGGAAGACAAAAGGATTAACTGGGGAGGCTGAGTGGTTCTCGGTGCTAACCTACCACTGCATGGATGGAGCTCCAGTTGGAGCTGAACCTATCCTGCCCCAGATCCTCCTTGCTTGCTGGCAGACATCCCTCCCCTCTCCCTGCAGTTGTCTAGATTGCACAGATCAAAACAAAGAACTGTGATGCACTGACAGGCACTCCTGCTGAAGTCCTGGTGTCAGTGCACAAAGAGTGCCAAAAGAAAGTAAGCTTGCCAAATTAGGTTACTTGTGAACATTTGGCATGCAGAGTCTGCAATGAACTCCTGCCCAGGAATTTGTACTCAGTGGGCAGCTCAGAGCCAATAAAGCAGCCATCTATCAACCCCTAAAACAAGCAGGACAACCCCTAAAACACTGCATTGCCCAAAGTCAATAGTTTTAAAACATCACATCCCATACCCATTGCTAGAACAGTCCCTCTATCTGAGCTGGTTTACACACCACCGCTCAGCCTTCAGCTTGTCTCACATCTGCCAAATGTTCCTCCATAAATTCATCACTCGGTGCCTTCTCACAGCCGTGCATTAACTGCTCAGTTTTCTCTGAAAGTAAGGAATTTGATATGACACGTAAGTCACATAAACTCTACAAGATTAAGTAAGTTATTGCATCTTAGAGCACAACTGGTTTCTAAAAATGATACCCTGGAAAATGACATTATCGCTCAGTGATTTGGTTCAATCTGATTGCTACAGTTAATGTAATAATGTAACTCAATTAGGATGCTTTGGTTATGAACGAACAACCTTGTTTAATATTGTCTGACTGTCCAGAAGCAGCTTAAATCGACGGCCTGCAAAGCTCAGGAACTCAGTGCTGCATCCTATTTTCAGAAGTGCTTACAGCATTTCAGTGGAGTTGCACAACGACACGAGCAGCTAAAGTAAGGTGTTCTGTTACCACACAGGCACTTACAACATACCCACATCTTAGCACTGCCATTCTGTGATTCTCAAAGCACCTCTTCGCAGAGTATTGCAGCCTTCTGGTTTATCCTCCAAAATAACTAACAGCATCCTTCCAGTGAGTACAGCAGGACTTCATTTGTAAGTGAAATAGCAAGGCACGGGCAAAGTGCCTTCCAGACGTGTTGTCTGAAAAACACATGGGAACAGGAGGGAGGAGGTGACACTAACTCCACAGTGGATCAGTGCAGGGATGGAAGTGCAGAAAGACCCCGACACCACTGAGCCTGCAGGCACGTGTTGTTCTCCAACTTCTGCCCTGTGGGGAAATTCCCAAAATCTAAGATATACAGTAGCTGTCTTCTGTCACCCCCAAGTCCAAAACACCCTTATGAGCGCTGAGCCAGATGGAAAGAACTACGCCAAAAACCAACGCGGTGCTCACTGGAATCCTCCATACATTGGTGCATGCATTTCATTTCCTGGTCTCCTTATTTGCAGCCTGTGATTGGGTGTATTTGTGAGAAATCTGAGATGGTTCTATGTGTTGCGACCCCCAAGACTCTTAAAAACATGGAATATTTACCACAGCTTCTACATCAATCTTTTTTCTTTCCTTTCAAAAAAAAAAAAAACAACCCAAATCTCCAAAGTAATGTCTCACCTTCTCAGCTCTCAAGCCTGAAGCTTTCCCCCCCCCCCCCTTTTTCTTTTCAAGGAAATGTGAGAAGACATTCAGAATGGGGAGCATGCTTCATACATGATTATAAAATCCCATTTGTTATGAAAAACAGATGTTATTCAATAGCATAAAGTGGAGACGAATATCATAGTTAAATAACTCATACTGCACAGCACAGCCCTTGAAGAAACACTTTTTATAACCTAGATACGTTTGGACATGACTGAATACCAAGACCCAGAGGCTGAGTTTGTCTGTCTCCATATGCACACTCACTAGTACCTAAATACAGCATTAACACGTACATTTAATAACAAATATGGACATATCAGTGGACTGATCAGGAGAAAAGCATCAGTATATTCCACATTATTCCTACCAGGGTATCCAATCTCACCTTCGTGTGGAAGGCGTCCAGACACTGGTGCAAAGCAAATGACCTACCTTGCAGATTTCTTAAAAGCACCTCAGCTGAAACAACTTCAACAAAACTGGAACTCCACACCACTCAGAACAACTCCATCACAAAGGCTGCACGTCACTGCATGCCCGTGTGCATCCGTGCTCTTTCTTCTCCACTTATTTCTGTAATGACCTCATGTGGTTACATGCAACACCAGAAAATCGCTCTGTCATTTCACTCCTGCACTGGTGTGAAAGTGAAATCTTGCCTGGCATTCCCCTCCCCTAACAGCCTTCAAACTACTTTGATAAAAGTTTCACTACATATTAAAAAAGATGTAACACTAAAATGTGAACAAGCAAAACTATCTATCATTTGGAATGCCTTTCTTATTGTGATCTAAGCTGCCAGGAAGGCTTTGGGAATTTGCATCTTATCCTTAGAGATGTCTGAAATTGTCTCCTCTGTTTCTCGCACAGCGCTGAGCACATCGCCAGCTTTAATCTTTAATCTCTTCTTCCTCTCTGCTCCCCCACAGAGAATCAATCCCTGCCATCTATACACAGATAAAGCTCCTGGGCCCTGGGAAGTTCGGCTCTAAGTTTCGCAATAAAGATAGGAAGATTTACTGCCAGGAACGCGTTGTACCAAAACAAAACGTCAAGTTGTCTCTATCAGTAGCACAGCCCCAAACTCTGCCCTACGTGAAACAGCAGAAAAAGCAGAGTGCACCTAACACAGAATGATTTAACATGGGAAGATGGGGACTCAGGGATGGCTGGAAAGCAGACAACCATCAGTTTATACTTAGAAGCACAAGCTGATAAGCCCTATCACTTATCTCACCTCCCTGTGAATATATATGTAGTTAAATAATCTAGAAGACAAAAGCAAAACAAACAAAACCAACCTTCCTTATTCTCCTTCCCTCTGCCAAAAGTCACACGAAATGAGGACAGAAGAGCACAACTTCAGATTTCAGCCTCCCAGCACCTCCTTACCTTACAGAAATTCGATGTAATTGTGTACCTTTGGGCTGAAAGAATCATAGGTATTAGTGTACTGTGGGGAGGAGAGCTTATGGGCAGTGCATACCTGTATTGTGGATTTTATAAAACCACCAGGAGGTAGCAATGAATTTATCTGGGGGTATACATTGCACTTTTTCAATAAGCATTTAAAAGTATTACTATATTCTATTCAATCTCACACCTAAGTTTCCCTAATGCATTTGTCTCTGTAGAGCTACACCTCTAATTTTGAATGCCAATGCATAAAAAACAGACATGCTGCAAATAACGTACATTTGCACGAAGAGATCAAGTTCAATAGAAGTGTGCATTATTTCCATGGCACGTGTACATGTTAAAAAAGCATTCTGCATTTCCACATATGTGCTGCTACAGCTGTGTATATACACCAGCACACCATGTGCACTCACAAAGCAAAAGACGTGAACACATCAGTACAGCCTCCACTTCTGGTGTGTATGCATGTGACACACTTATGTACCACGGTACGTGCCGGTTCCATGCACACACCTTTAATGCACTCATACCACTCGATGCTCCTGGATCCTTCTGCTCTTTCAGTTTTCAAATGACTTCATTTCTGCCTACACAAGACAGATTACAAATGCCGTCTTTCCAAACCTGGAGGTTGAGCAGTGCTGTAAGACACTGATGTGACAGTGCCCCAGCGCTGAGACTGGCAGCAGCGCCGGGGGCATCTGTGCCACCCTCTGGGCTGCAGCCAACGATGGCTTGCTCAGCTGCCAGAAGGTGGTCAAAAGCCCCAGGGAAAGCAAAACCTGTTTGGGCCATTGACATTGAGTATCCTTGGTGCAGGAAGTCGGGACCTTAGAGGTATCCATCATTACTGCTGCCTGGAGGCAGGCTGGAGCCAAGGAACTTGCCGGAGAAGCTAGTAAAATTTTAATGCACTCTGTAGTGCGGTCATGTCATACTCAGTTATGGCAAATAATCCCAGATGCCTGCAGAGGTAAAATGGAGCTGTAATGTGCTTGCCTCCTAACCCGAGCTGACAGCAATGATGTACGACTACCATTAGCGGAAAATATCACTTCAACTAACCCATGATCCAGCTCCGCTAAGGGTCACATTATCCATGAGGAACAAATTACACTCCCAAAGTAAATACAAATTTTCTACACGAAATGGGTACCAAAAAAAAAAAAAAAAAAAAAAAAAAAAAAAAGGGAGGAGGGGGGGGGGAAGGCCAGGAAGGGGTAGGGGAAGCAATACGGTCCTGTGACAGCATGCTGCCAAGTGACAGCAGTGACAAAGGACAGGATGAACGTGGGCTGCAGGGGAACAGGCACCCAGAGCACAGCCCAGCCCACGGCTTGCTCCCCCCAGTGCCCAACTCAGCGCCTTCCACAACCAGCTCTAGTTTTATTGCTGCTCTCGCTGTAGGGGCCCGCAATGTGGCACATCAAATGAATAAAAAGGATCCTTATCTTTTCTCCTAATGGGCCTTAAACAGTAAGAAATACTTCATGATTGCCTGAGCGTTGCTAGCATATAAAGTCTGGGTGATCTTTCACCCTGGGGGCGAGTTTAAGGTGCTGTGTTTTCCAGAGCTAAAAAGACAACACCTGTGCAAATATGCAGTATAAATCTCCCTGATGGGAAACATCCTGGCTTTGCAGAAACAGTTATAAGAATAATACTGAGAAACTATTTCTCTAATCCTATCCTTAGCCAAAATAAATACATGGCAAACAGTAAGATACCAGTATCCCATGACCCGAAGTAATTGCTTAAAATTGGGTTCTCAGCCACCGTTTCCCCACGGAGCCTTATTTGCTAAACATACTGGTACCCACCATCCGAGGAGTTTTTCCAGGAATTCAGCTCGTATTATCAGATCTACTTTTCTCTCCCTTTGGGAAGCAGAGTGCCTGCGTTAGTTGTGAGGGGACAGGACAGCCAGAGCTGCACTAAGCCCCCTCCTCCCCCAACAATGCACCCATCCGTGCCACATCTCCCACCACCCAAGGTCATACGCTTTTTTCTCAGGCTCTCTTGCTAGACTGGAAAGTGCACAGTTTATATTTTGAGATGTTCCTCTAGAAACCACCCATGGTATCAAATACCTGCTTCAAGCTGAAGGAACGTAGAGAATGGAATGAATGCATGAGCTCTGATGATTTGCCTTTCTTTCAATAGCACAACAAATGCTGACAGCTCTCTCTATGACTAGAATGTTCCAGACCAGGAAAGTTATTATATATTATTTATACTCCAACAGTATAAGCTAAAAAACCACTGTATGGATACTATGACCACGGTGGGGACCAAGCCTTGGGCCGGCTGCCTCCTCTCTACAGCTCTGGCAATGGCCAGGAAGATGCTTTTTCCAAGTGCTACCCAAACTTTGCCTTCCCCAGCAGCAAAAGGGAAAAAGCAGTTTTATTTCCAGGCATCCTGCTAAAAAAAAAAAACAATCCATAATGATGCAACTGCCCACAGGAGAGTGAATTACACTCATCTATACACATTGATGGCATAAAGCAAATTCATTATTATTTAATCTGTTTGTGATAGAGTTTCTATTTCCAGTAACAGAATATGCAGAAGGCAGCCTTGTGCTATTTACTTTGGCCTTTTGATTGTGAGCACGGTTTACAGCTGGGTTGCTTTGGATTCTTTTTGTTTAGGAAGAAAGGGATTTGCTGCTCTGTGCTCTGCTCATGGTTGGGTGCTGGGAAGAACGCTTGCTTTGGCAAGCAGAGACACAGCCAGGTAGGCAGCTTCAGCTGGAGGGCAGGGAGGAAGAGGCTTGGTGTGAAGTTTGAGAGCTTTCTCAGAAGGACTGAAAGGTATGGTGTGAGGCTCATCTGGTTGAGTTTGTAAAGCTGGGATAAAAATTGAGATTTTTTTTTGTTTAATTTAGCCAGAAGCACACCATCAAGAAAGCTACACACATACCAATATATGTATATATGAGGATATTTCACCACCAACCACTGAAATACAATCTATACACTAAACTGAGCAACAGTCTGCAAAACTTTTCTCCAAAATCTCTTCCTAAAACTTGTATACAAAATAATTGTCAAATACCACTTCAGAAACATACATTGGGTGCATGTGTAAAGGCCTTTGTTTGTATACAGTTGTACACAGCCACTTGCACAGACCAGCACGATTCATTGTATTTTCCATGCCATAGTCTTTGGTTTGTAGCTGTTTTACACACAATCAAACGCGCTAGCATAATCCTTAAAAACATTGTGATGCAAGAAATACCATTTTTCCAACAATTTGTTCATCACGCACGCAGTGTTTATAACTGCACCTGGGAGTACAGCTCAAAATCTGCCCAGTGGTGTGCTCTCACCAGTACAAACCCACTCAGCCCAGTTTCCTTCCAGCCAGGCTGAGCACTGTTACCCTCCCCTACAACAAACACAAGCGTTCTGCACATTTAGCCACAAGCTTAGCCAGCCTCTCTCTTCCCTTAGCTCCATAAGCAAAGCCCACCCAAAGCACAGCTGTTGTGCTCCTATCAGTGGCACATTGGTGGTGCTGAGGTTGCAGCTGTGAAGAAATGGGATTCATGGACATCATCAAGGCAGAACCATTTGAGTGCCATGGTGCTACAGCCAGAAAGACCAACACAGCAGATGAGCAATACAGGAATATAACAGCAAAGGGACTGGTGCAAACGGAACGGCGTTACAAAGGAAAAGCACTCACCTGAAGGCGGTCTCTGAAAATCTACCCTCACAGGGAAAACTGCCCAGTGGAGGGACCTCCAAGCACAGAACCTTCCCCAGTGGCAGTCAGCCCTTCAGTGCCCTAAGAGAGGCGCAGCCAGGCTCCACCCCTCCTATCACACAGCTGAATTGCCCTCACCTGTGCTCCCAGGGCTGATCCTTGCCCAGGTGCTCAAGCAGTGGTTCAGGCCGTGACTCAACAGTTCCCGCACACACGGTAATAATGGAATTACATCACCAGCTGCGTCAGTCTTTAAGTCACACGCCCTACCAAAGTTGGGTAAGGCCAGAAGCATGCCTCCTTTTCTCTTTCCTCAAGCATCCCTGTGTACACAGCATAGCGGCCCCATGGCCAATGAAACGTTTTCCTAAGATCTGCAAGTCACTGCAGTGCCTCAAATCGAGCCTTAATTTTAAGATCAGACCCATTAAATGGAGTGGGGAGAGGCAACGGTAAAGATGGTGAATAAAAAAGAACCTTGCTCCATAACTCATCTTGAGCACTCCCTACCACGGGCTTTACACAGTGTGTCACATCAGGACCTCCTTTCAGTTCCAGAAAATGAACCCCCTATTTACACTGATGTTTTTAATACTGTACTAATTACCACAGGTATAATTTTTAAGACTGCATCTTGAAATCAGAAGCTAATACAGTTGCACTTGGATTTGTCAGCTGTGCAATAGCTTGCCCTAATTTTAGATTAACAGCTCTGGAGACCTGCTCAGAAGAGTGAGACTGACAGACTTTTTAATGGAGAAAATCTGAGCTCCCCTGGGATCCATACTTTCTCAGACATAGTCAGAAATCCCAGCGGCGCTCGCTGAAAGGATCCCAGGATGGAAAATGACATCTCCCTCAGCATTAGTGCTTTGCATTCTGATGTCGGTCCTCCAAATACTCTCTCCCTTCACATTCTTGCCACTTCTTTGGGATTTTTAGCAGCAGCAGAGCAGAAAGCGTACCTTGAATGCTCTAACCCAGCGCCATGTGCCAAACTGGAATGAAGGAACTTGAATCTTTATAAATAGATAAATTATCCACCCAAAACATGTCATTTAAAATTGAGATGCTGACACAGCCTTAGCTACAGTACTGCTAAGCAGGGCTGTATCATTTTTCAATTAAATATCCTTGTTTCTTCTTCCAGAGAAACCTCTGGAGAAATGTCTCATTTGAGGGCAGACAGAGACAGAAAGTGACTCTGTCTGTCGGCTCCCAATTAAAGGCCAGGGAAGATGGATAGGAGGCACAGCCACCACCTAATAGAGATCAGATATCAACAATGATTTATGCAGTCAGATAGATACATATTCAAGTGAGGAAAAAAGAATGCTAACAGCAACAGGGAGACATCACTTTCCTCCTCTGTCACCACCTGCCATCCATCTGCTCCTCTCTTCCCAGGTCCTGCTCCATCCTGGACGCCCCTGCTTTGCCGAGGGCCATCTTTGAGTCAATTCTGCCAGTCCCTTTCCTCCATCACACACCCCCCATCCAAAGGCATGGGCCTTCCTGCATTCCAGAACTTGCTGTTTCTAGCTTCTGCACACCCCATTTCTATATGCACACACTTGCTCCTACATGCTGCATTACCTCTGCTCTCATGGATCTCTGACTGCCCAAGCACACTGAGGGATCAGTGTGGGTTTGCCCTCAAAAATTTGAAACGATGAAAAGGATTTCCTCTCCATAATTCCAAACAGCACGTACCAAGTTCACCTGCAGCAACACATCCGATACTGAAGTCTGCAAGATCTGGTCCTAAAGCAAAGCAGCTCCTTCATCTCAGGACAGATGTTTCTCGCAGAGGCAAGTGACCCCCACAACCCTTAGAATACCAAGGCACAGCAACTTGACAATCTGCTATGAGAACAGCTCCATAGCTGGAGGCTGATACCCTCACAATGACGTATGGCTTTTTTGGGTCGAGGTTGTTAGAAGGTCTCAGCCCCTGTGCCGGTTGATGAGAGCAGAGGATGCTGAGTGCTCTTTGAGAAACCATCAGCCCTTGGCACAGAGGCTGGGCACCCTCGCTTCTCCCCACGCACTGTGCTCATGGGAATTTTTGGTCCTAAAAATGCTATTTTATTTAAAGCAGCGACTCAAAATCTTCCGGTTCCTATTGAAAGAGATCTAAAAGATCCTGCCTGTCTGGAGAAAAGAAGTTTCTACTTGTCAGTTAAACAAAGGAATAACGCACAGCCTCCTTTACAGTGTGTACTTTACCTGTCATCCAACAGCCCATTATCATGTCACGGCAGAGTGCACTTTTCTACAGGTCACTTTGTTTAAAATGACATGGATAATGCACATGTCAGCGAGCTGACAGTCCCGACCGTCCTTCAGAGATAAAAACCACAAGACGAGCGCCTGTTCTTATCTGGGGTACATGCCTTGGTCTATCATCTAAGTCAGGCAGAACATGATTTCTCCAGAGAGCACTTTTTTCATTTCCTGATTTTAAGAAAATCAAATAAGCACCATTTGTCTTCATCTGAATATGCTTGACCTGCTCAAATGATGATGTCTCGCATTTTATAACAGGCTGCATATGCTGAATTCAAATTAACAGCAGCACAAGGCCTGAGATCTCTGCCTGCGCTGCAGCACACGATGAATGTGCACGTCAGGGTAAGCAGGCATCCTCCAGAACTGGGCTTGAGCCCAACCCAACACCGGGTCTGCTTGTGGGGTTTGAAAAGCACTACGTTACCAGGGATGCTCAGATCAGTGCTTAGCCTCATTTCATTAGGAAGGAAGAGAAAAAATAGATTGCAGAGATGAAGTGGGATGTCCAGGGTGAAGCATGGTCTGCAGTCTCCTGCACTGCGTGGCAGACACAGCCCTCACCCACACACCGCCACCACGCCAAAGCCACCCGTTGCCTTTTACATAGGAGGGCTGTGAGGGAGAAATATGGGGGGGTTGGCAGAGGTTGGCTCTGAAGGCAGCAGGAAATTACACTTGTAGTTTTGGGTGCCATAAACATGGAAGCTGAGATTCAGTTTATCATCTCGTACTGTGTAAGGAACATCCTGAAAATGAATAATCACTTCACAGGATGGAACGTAATGGCAACGCATTAAAAATTCATATCTAAAAGTGCAGGTTAATATTCTGTGCAAAAACCCAACAAAACCTCCCCTTTCTGTTGTCACACTGATTAACTCCAGTGATTAGTTCCCTTATGAAAGGGAAATCACTGCAGTTCAAAGTAAACAGTGGTTCTTTAACGCAGTTAGCAAATTATTAAGAAACATGAGGAAAAAAATCCCTACTTGGGAAATTACTGAAAGCTGAAGGGCAAAGCTTTGGCAATTGTATACAGGATACTTCGAAAATTTCCTGGGCTTACTGCTACATAAATCCTGTACAGAACTGATTAAATTCAGGAAATCTGACTTCTGCATTCAGTGTTTCCTTTGGACATTACACCATATTTATTCCTTTCTGCCATGTTAGCTGCACACCAGCATGGTCATCTCTCGTCTTTCTTCTCAGCTTGACTTGAAGCCAAACAGAGCCACTCATGAAACTCCAAGCAATTCAATTATATTACATGAAAACTATTTTATAACATTACTTTACTCTCCCCAACTTCCATCCCCCACTTTACCCTGTGAAAGAGGAGGAACAAGTGGTGACATTATCAAAACATTCATTAGGGTCAAACATACTTATGAAAATCACAAAATCCAACCTGGAAATCAAGAAATTAGACCAGTTTTCCTGCAGTGATTACTTCGTTTTTAACAAAGGAGAAAGGTAGACGTTAGTTTACAGCACAAAAATCTGCTTACAGCATATAAAATAAGACTAAAAAAATGCATCAGCGTGAATAATAGTTCTTCATGACTAATAGCCTTCAAGACAACAGTGTTTGAGAGCTGTGCTTGGTTCTTTTTCAGCATGATATTCTTTCATTTTCAACTTAGAAACCCACAGTTAATGCAGTAATTATCAGCAAGTTGTGTCACTTGGTGGAATGCAGTTTCCAAATGTTGTTTCTAAATATATGTGTATATATAAATACACACGTATATGTCAACCCTAGCACATCAACTTGAGTTTTAAGACCTGTGCCCGCAGAGAAGCAAAACAAGCAGGTGTGTGGTTAAGCAACTGTTGAACAGTGCAAATGTGAGGGTTACCAACACAACCAGTTGCACTATCAAACTGTTAGAACTTACTAAGGGAAAATATAGCCTTAGGAAGGGTGGGTAGTCAGGCTAGTGCTAGTATACAACCCACACACAGCATCACTATGCTTGAGGATGATCTGTGTGGACTCCAGAATAGACATTAGAATACTTATCCCTTGGAGGTCTATTCCAAAATCAAACTAAAGGAACAAGGCTGTTTCCTTATGTAGGGCTCCTTTGGTTCAATCCAAAAAGAAACTCTTGATAAGTAACAAATTATTAGCAATAAGTGAATCCAAAAAAATCCAACAAAATAGTTTGGCTCCCATACAGATTCCCTTTCCTACCTTTTCTTCTTGATCACTGTCGCTGTCACACTGAAACACAAAAAGAAAAAAAAAAAACAGGTTAGAGAAACGTGCTGCAGCAAAAAATGGAAGATTATTATTATCATCAGGACGGCCAACACATCGTAAGCCCCACAGTGTCACATTTGGTACCTTCAGGAAACACCTCAGTTCCTGTATGGTAGAGAATCTTTCCACACACCGTTGTTGAAGACCACAATTTGTGGGTTTGAATTGTGAAAACAAGGAAAGGCACTTGCAATACTCCCCGTTAGCTTAACTCGGATACATGGGAGCTGATGGTGCGTGGCCAAATTCAGACCCTACAACTGGATCAGGGAAGAGGAAAAGCAGCAGAGACAGAAGCAGCGTTCCCTTCTGGCAGATGATATTTCTCACACTGCTCCCCAGAAATTGGCTTCTCGGGTAGGATGGCATTGAGAGTGCTCAGCTTGGCCCTTTGCAGCAGAGAAGCACTTACAGGGCTGCCACTTCACTCCAGGATTATGTAGAGGATACACCCCATGTCGTTCCCTACAGGTGTCGCATTGAGGAGCTCAGGCAGATCCCAACAGAACCACGTGCCCAAGGAAGTGATTCGTTGAGGCGCTCAGCAAATCCAAAGGAGCCCAGGCTGCAAACGCAATGCTCTAAAAGGCTGAATAGTAACACTGGTGGGTCTTGCCAATGATCAACTGCCAATGCTTAATTTTTGGCAAGCATTTCCAAGGAAAGCACAAGGTCAAAAAAACTGCAGATCTGGGCTTTCCCGCATCGAGGCCTAGCAGCCTGTGCTGTGTCCTTACAGCCCTTCGTACGCTTGCATCCTATCCAATGCATCTGTGAGTATTTTCATAAGGCAACCAAATTGCTCTGAAATTAGCAGCACGTTGTGAATTCCAAAGGTTAACTATACAGCGGGACGTGAACAGACACAGCCTAGCACACCCACAATATACGTGTTGGATTTGTACAAAGCAAGCCTTCTTTATGTTCTTTAATTACAACTTTTCTCTTTCACTGGCTTTTTCCACCTCTTCATTGGTACAGAGGCAGAGAAGGTACTTTCTCCACACCAATTAACTACATCCTGACAAATAAAAGCTATAAGCTTAAATAGTTCTTTTTTTTTTTTCCCCCACAAATGTTTTTCAACTAATTTAAAATGAAGCAAAAAATAGATAAAATCGCTATCTCCTTCCAGATCATTCCAAAAGAAATGGAAATGACATTTATTTAATAACTGAAATGACTTATACAGTACTAGTTGAATCTTAAACACTCTGGTAAGAAAAACATGAGATGGAGCATGAAGATACGTGACAGTTTTAGCTTAAAATCTGAAACCCTCATGCAGAGATCAAGTTTATGAAGGAGGGAGCACTTAGCTGACAAAAGAAGAACTGCACATTCCTGGTTATGGTTTTTAAGGACTTCATCATGACAACATTTATGAGATTCTGGTATGGAGGTAAGCACAGGCAAGTAAGCTTGCAAAGCAAAGGCTGACATTTACAGATAAGCAGAAATATGCACAGATTTTCATCCACAAAAATCGCAGCAAATCACAAAGAATTCCCATTTACCACCTCTACTATACAGTGACTGACAAAATTCAGATCTTCACAGCATCACAGAATCATCAAAGACCTCTAAGATCACGCAGTCCAACCATGCACCTACCTACCCCCTGACCACCTCCCTCAGTGCCACATCTCCATAGGCTCTGGAGAGCCTATGTAAGCTGTGTGCTCCATAGGTTAGGATGCATTACAAATCACTGAGGTGACACATCTCACGTATTTTCAAACCAAGGAGCTCAGAACCGATTCCTCCATTTGCTCATGCCCTCTCCCCACCTCCCAGCCAACATCCAATACTAATCCAGATTGTAATACCTGAATCCAAAAGGACAAAGGTTCAATAGGGGTATATACACAAGGAAAAATGACTGTGTGCTCCCAGCAGGGTTCAGAGGGCTTTGCCATGCCGTGGGCTCCTGCAGCACACGTGCCTTGCGACACACCTGCTGTCACAGCGCTCTGCAGCCACTCCTTTCCCCACCATTTGTGTCAGGTCTAAGCAATCTCTCCTCTGCTGTGCACTAACCCTTTCCCGAATGGTGAGCTTGGAAAGAGCTCAGGGTTCTGTGTTCTCTGCAGCGTGGAGGTGCTTGGGCACAAGAACCCGTGCCAGAAGGGACATGTGAATTTGCCAGCAACACAGCTACCCGCATCCAAGAGGATGTGCAGAGAGCGGCGTCGCTGGGAAGTTATTTCCATCAAAGTGTTAAGCCTCCTGCTTTCTGACAGTCCAGTTCTAATTTCAAGGTCTGCTTAATTCCGCATCAAATAATTACTGCTATACCCACAAGCACCTTGTCTCCAGAGTTAAGCATATGGCGAAGGACTGAGACCTACTGGTGTCCATTATGGAAGCAGCACGGATGCCAAGCCGATTAAAACCACTCGGGCTCCCTG